TTGTGCCATTGCAAGGCAACGTTTTACCAGATGGTACTTCTATAGGTGCTAGCTTTGCATGCCAGCAGTCATCTGATGGAAAGGGAGGGGGAGGGGAAAGGTACTCTCAGCCTCTTTGTTTAGGAACCATTACCCTGTATTCATATTTCTTGGTGAAAAGGTTCCCCATCACAAATACATGCTACCTGAAACACTCAGATTTTGTACGAAAAAAATTCAGTCACAAGTTTCCTTTGAGTAGCTTCCACTAGTGTGCATTTGTAACAAGTTTGTAGGGAGTTAACATTATAGGACAGAAGTGTTTTCTGTATTATTGATGCTGACACAAGAAAAATGTATAAATAATAATTGACCTTTATAGTCCAGTGTGCATGGCACTTTATAAAGAACAGTTATAATAGATCCCTACCTTAAGGAGTTTACAGTCTAAAATAGACACAGTAAAGCAGGGGAAGAAAGGGGGAAATAGAGGCACGGGTACTTTGGTTTATTTGCCATAGGGATTAGGTGCTTAACCATAAGCTTTCCAGAAAAGGTTAGTATTGAGGAAAGGCTTAAGGGAAATAAGAGACATGGTTGAATGGAGACATGCTGAAGGGCGAATTCAGGCATTAGGGCCAGCAAGGAAAAAGGTGCAGTCATTTCATGGAGCTTGAGATGCCACAGTTCAAATAAGAGCTCTGGGTTCACACCCACATGAAGAAGAGGCTGAAAGGAGGTGTTTGTGTATCCACAGGTCTCTGAAAGCACGAGTTGCTATTTTTTGTGAAAAATCATGATTTTAAACTTATTGATACCTTCCATTTTTATCACGTTAGATGTTTTAATTAAAATCCCGTTGGGATCTAGAATAGCAAAAAAAAAAAAAAAAAAAAAAGGTAAAGGACCCCTGGACGGTTAAGTCCAGTAAAAGGCAAATGGACTTTTCAGGCCAAGGGAGCCGGCATTTGTCCACAGAAAGCTTTCCGGGTCATGTGGCCAGCATGACTAAACCGCTTCTGACGCAATGGAACACCGTGACGGAAGCCAGAGTGCACGGAAACGCCGTGTACCTTCCCGCCACCTATTTATCTACTTGCACTGGTATGCTTTCAAACTGTTAGGTTGGCAGAAGCTGGGGCAGAACAACAGGAGCTCACCCGTTGTGCGGATTCAAACTGCAGACCTTCCGATCAGCAAGCCCAAAAGGCTCAGTGGTTTAGACCACAGCACCAAATGCATCCCAAATTAGAATAGCCCAACCCAGCCTGATGCCCTCTTAGATGTTTGGGAATGCAATTCCCTGCATGGTCTACTCCCTGCCTTGCGGGACATATGTGGGAGGAAAAAAGGCTAAGGAGTAAACCCTACACAAATCCAGAGTAGAGTATTGCTCTGCTTTCCTTTGGACATCAGTGAGGTTGAGTGGGGCTGCTCTTGGACAGCCCAGGACCTCCATACACATTGCCAAGGCTCGCACCCCGGAAAGGTCACTTCAGTGCTGATAACGCAAGTTTCTAGTTACAGCAGATACTCCATTATCTCTCAAGACAGATGGATGCCAACAATTACAAGGTATTTTCAAATTCGCCAAAATCTTTGCCATTAGCAAAAAATGTGTTAAACGATCAATGAGAATTACCACAACTATGAAAGCTAAAGAGAAGTTATTGTTGGGAAATTTATGGTAATATGGAAGAAATGAAATGAAAACCTTGTTAAATAGGTACAGTACCCAAAGTGCTCCCTAAGAATTAGTATCTGCAGGATTTTTAAGGTCACAGAAGATATAAAACACAACCAACTCTAGTTATGTACACACATATGCATAATTTTATTTGTATGCCACCGATCCACAGTTCAAACCATGATCAAGGCAGCTTACAACATAAAAAAATGCTAAGTACCTCTACAACATAACAAAAGTAGTCATAAACCATAAATAAAACATAAAAAATACACAACCAAACTGAAAAAAATTCTACATAAATCGCAACAAGATCTATAACAGAGATACAAAAATCCAACAGCAACAACAGCCCCCAACAATCATACCCCAAGAGTATGTATGTGGATGCCACAAAAACATGTAACAGATTAGAATGGCCTTTTAAAAATCTTATGCATTAAAGTTTTTGAGGTAACTAATTTGATAAATTGATTGTTTATACTCAGTGCATCTTCAGTAGTTAATGGTTACAATTTTAAAATGTTTAATCTGAGTACAGGTATTATTATTTAACAAACTTATATACAGTTTACAAGAAAATATTCTTCCAAAAGCACTCTATAGACTATATATCAAGATGTTACCAATTAAATGTAATTTAAAACCATTAAAAATACCCTAACCATTTTAACACACTATTATTTTAAAATGTTATTAAAGTCAACAATGGCCAACACTAATGTAGCATAATAAACACACTTAAAAGGCCAAAGAATGTTAATCAGTCAAAGACCTGGTTATAGAGAAGTGCTTTTACTTGTCACCTAAAGATATGTAATGAAGGTGCCAGGCAAGCCTCCCTGGGGAGAGCATTCCACAAACAGGGAGCCACCACAGAAAAGGCCCATTCTCATGTTGCCATCCTCCAGACCTTTAATGGATGAGGCACACAAAGAAGGGCTTCAGATTATGATCACAGGGTCAGCGCATATGGGAAGTGACAGTCCTTACGGTATTGCGGTCCTGAGCCATTTGAGACTTCAGTACTTTGAATTGGGCTCGGAAACTAATTGGCAACCCGTGCAGTCAGGCCAGGGTCAGTGTAATATGCTCAAATTATCTTGCCCTATTGAGCAACTTGGCTGCCAAATTCTGCACCAACTGAAGTTTCCAAACCGTCTGCAAAGGAACAGCACACTATACATACCTGCTGCACATGCTGCTAAGAACTTTTCACTCTTGCAAGGCCTCTTTGCTATAAGGTGAGTGCAATCTCTGTATTCCTAACAACAAAAAGAACACACAACCATAAACTAAAAATTGCATACACATTTTCAAAAATAATAAGGTAAGAAGTAGAATTTGCTCTTTTACCAGAGTGTAGCATGCACTCAGTTTTACCACTATGAATACCATATATTGTAAAGTACAGTCATACCTCTGGTTACAGACGCTTCAGGTTGTGCATTTTCGGGTTGCGCACCACGCCGAACCCAGAAGTACCAGAACGGGTTACGTCCGGGTTTCGGCACTCGTGCATGTGCAGAAACACTAAATCGTGCTTTGCGCAATAATGCCGAATCACAACTGTGCGTGCGCAGACGCGGCACTGCGGGCTGCAAACGTGCCTCCCGCACGGATCACGTTCACAATCTGAGCGTCCACTGTATTCTAGGTGATAAAAATCCACAAAATATTTAGGCTTATAAATTATCATAATTTACCGTAGTGTTAAAAAAAACACATTTTAGTGTCTGAAGCAATTTGATTAGGGCCTTCTTTTCTTGCTTCTTAAATCCAGTTAGCTGGATCCTCCGTTTTTGGATGTCACTTTCCATCTGTTAAAAAAAAGAAAAGAAAAAAGATGTACAACATATATTCTGGCACAATCTGTTAAGATGCAGAGTAGATGCACTTAAATCATCAACTCCAAATTACTATACAAATCTGCTTATTATTACTATTCATTTCTGTAACACTTTATATTTTTAAGGGAAAAATCTCAAAGGAGTTTACAACCTACATTAAAATATCAAAGAGAAGGTCTTCCAGGACACACAGCTTAATGCCTAACTGTATCATTTACAATGTACAGTGGTACCTCGGGTTAAGAACTTAATTCGTTCCAGAGGTCCGTTCTTAACCTGAAGCATCACTTTAGCTAATGGGGCCTCCTGCTGCCGCTGCGCTGCACGATTTCTGTTCTCATCCTGAAGCAAAGTTCTTAACCTGAGGTACTATTTCAGGGTTAGTGGAGCCTTTAACCTGAAGCGTATGTAACCAGAGGTACCACTGTATATGTAAATGGAATGTTTCTTAGCAGGGGATATTTGGGAATTGTTTGTCATAAATATTTTCAGAAAAGGGGGGGGCAATGCAGAAAGGTAGGCTTGAGACTTCAAGATTCACACACTTTTATTCGAGTATTCTACTTGAGTTATTTGAATTAGTCATGCTATGCAAAACCAATAACCTTTCTAGGATTTCACCGTTCTCTGTAGAGCGAGCAAAGTTAAATATATGTGCCCCAAGTTTGAGAAACTACGGAACTACCAACCAATGCACATTTACTACAGCCATCCCCAGTGTATTCAGCGGGATTTTGCTTCTGGATAAACAACGCCTAGGAAAAAAAGGCTGAGATTCTGGAGAGACAAGTCCGCAGGAAAGAGAAGCTACAAAAAGAGAACGCACCCGCCGGAACATCACTAAGTCAAGCGACTTCGCAATACAGTAGTTCTGGAACCCGCGCAGAGATTCCTACGGAGACTACGCCCGCTACGCTACTCGCGTAACGAGACCCGCCGCCGCGTTCGGAGCGCGGGAAAAAAAGGAGGGAAAGAAATCGCAAGCCAGAAGTACGGAAAGTGGGGGAAGAGGGGTGGGCTCTCAGGGAGTTTCTGAAGAAGACGCTCACCACCCCCCACAGATAGATGCAGTTTCAAAAGAAGAGCGCGTCCTACGAGAGCCTCGAGGGCTATGCTGCTGAGCTGAGGAGAGCGCACCGTTGCCAACCGGCTCGAAGAACTCCATCTGCCTGTATGTACAGCCCCGCGCGCCGTTTACCTCAGGCGATTTCCCCTCAGCGTCGCACGGCGCGGCCTCTCAGTACTTGGAGCGTTTCTCCCGCCTTCCTTCCTTCCCGCGTAGGCGCTCGCTCGCTCTCTTTCGCGCGCGGGAAAAGAGCCTGGGCCTCCTCCTCCGTCTTGGTGGCTCCTCCTCCGGATGTCGGAGCCCGGCCATTCCGAGCCGCGGTTACTGACGCTCGTTTGGTCTCCGGGGCTACCAGGCGCCGAAAGAGGGAGCGGGGCCCGGCCTACCTGGTAAGTGACGTCGGAGTCTGTCAGGGCAGCGGGGCGGGAAAGGGGCTCGGCCCTCCTTTCGGCCTCTGAAGCGCCCACCTGCCCGCTGCTGCCACCCTCGCCTTCCGTCCATGGTTCTCCTCAAACGCCGAAGGGAGACGAAGGAGACGGAGAGACTCACTGACAGATGTGTTGTTGTTATTTATTATTATATGAGCTTTCCAGCGAATGGGTTTGGCCTTAAAAAGATGCCTCAGGACTGCTTTCTTAGCTGAGGACGGAGTTGGCTGCCCCCCCTGGAACTTAGTAGGGCATATTCTGTGCATCTCCTAGTCAACGTGCCACAGGTCTCTCTTTTTTTGCTACTACTGCTCCTTGGTTAGGTTTTCATCCAAACTAATGTAGTCCCACTCATAGGGGGAGCAGGGGGGCGGTTGCTTTGGTCGTAGCCAGGAGGGGCAGGGGCAGCTGCTCCCCCAAAATCAAGTAAATACTGTAAATAAAACTACTTAACTAACTGCCCCCACCCCAAATAACGCTTTCCCCGCTCAAAAAATAAATCCTGGCTATGCCCATGGCAGTCCCCCCTCCCCCCCATCAAGGAAATAAAAATACTTAACTAAAAGAAATTGTAGAAAGTTTGACAGGTTTTTCTGAGCACTTGGTCAAAAGAAAGTAATTTAAAACAGCTTGTTGAAACAATTCATTCCGAATCTGCTAGACAGAAGAGGATGGCAGGGGGGGTCCTGCCCCCCCAACACAAATCCTGGCTATGCCCATGGTCCCAGTTTTGTATCTTGTTTAGAAGTTCCTGAGCTTTGGTTTACAGTGGTACCTCTGGTTACAAACTTAAATTGTTCCGGAGCTCCGTTCTTAACCTGAAACCGTTCTTAACCTGAGGTACCACTTTAGCTAATGGGGCCTCCCGCTGCCACAGTGGCACAACTTCTGTTCTCATCCTGGGGCAAAGTTCTTAACCCAAGGTACTACTTCCAGGTTAGCAGAGTCTGTAGAGGTGTTTGTAACCCAAGGTGCTACTACTACTTTTCTCCTCTTCCCCACATTGTTCTTCAGTATTAACTCAGGTAGCAGGCTTATGTCCTTCGGAGCAAGACCCATTTTACTCTACTTCTGAGTAGAGAAGCACAGGGTTGCACTGCCAAGTTCCGTTGAACTAAATGCATGATGTGATGTGCAGCAAGAGATACATTTACAGTGTTGCCCTCTCTGCCACTTTTGTGTTCTGCTCCCCCACTGAAGCACTTGCTCTATGTGCATGTACATGTGTGAGCACTTAAATATGGACTAAAGATGGAGTGGAATTCTTCTGAATAAAATAAGACCTCATGAGTAACTGTAGTAGACCAGTGTATACTGTTATGAGGTTTTGGGCGGGGTCAGTCTGGATGATACCCTGTGTCCTTTTCCTGTATCTGTGAGGGTAGAATATATGAGGATGCTTGCCAAACCAGTTTGTTTTTCAGTGTAACTTTGACTGGCTACTTAAGTACCATGATTTAGCATATCCAAAGAAGTTGCTCTCTGCCACAGAAATAGATGGGTGGACCTTTTCCCACCCCTCTTATCGTCCAAGTAGGTAGAAGAACAATAGTCAGAGTTGCTGTGTGAGTGAGCAGGAAACTTTAAGATGGAGAGACATGCCTTCCTTTATGCTGGACTTTGGGGCTCCCCTAGAAACCTAAGGGGAAAGCAAGATCTATGTGAATGTTGCTGTTGCAAGTCTTTCCATCCTATGCTCACACTTTACATAGCTGTAAATAAAACAATATACTGTATCCTAAAGACTCCACGGTCTCTTCTAACCATCATTCCAAGGAAACTGAACTTGGGTGAGCGCATGAACCCTTGGAGTTTTTGTGGTCTCTCACTGCTTGGAGATTGCGATGGTGTGTAAACAATACGTTCTACATGGCAAAAAAGTCATTTTAGCTTAAAACACAGTTTTTTTTCTTTATTATTATTTCATAAAATTTATAAACCACTTGATTGTAAGCAACAACACTCAAAGCAGTTTATAAGAAGGATAAAACAATAAAATCATCAATAAGAAAAAATAACTACAGTATAATTTTAAACTTTCAAAAAGTTGAAATAATAGACTGGAAACAGATTAAAACTTGCATCAACTTACTAAACAACTAGTAGGCTTGTCTAAATAAAAATGATTTTAGCAGGCATCAAAAGGAATACATAGGGTGCCTGCTTGTTATCACTAGGCAGGGAGCTCTAAAGTTTTGGTGATGCCACAATACAAGATCAAGTTCTTGCAGATGTAGAACAGATATTAAGTAGCACCTGTAACAGTATCTGTTCTGATGATCGAAGCAGCTGAGTAGGTTAACTGGTCCCAAGTTGTTAAGGGCTTTAAATAATAATAGTAACACCCTGAACTCGGCCAGGTAGCAAATCAGCAACCAGCGCAGATCTCTGAGCACAGGTGTTATATGCTGACAAGGCCTCACTTTTGTCAGCTATCATGCTGCAGCATTCTGCACTAACTGCAGCCTCTGGATCAAGCACAAGGGAAGCCCCACATAAGAGTGCATTGCAGTAATCCAGTCTTGAAGTAACTAATGCATGAAATACTGTGGCCAGGCTTTCCTGGTATAGCAGTGGCCATTGCTGTCAAACCAATTGCAGCTAGTAAAAGGCAATTCTAGCCACTGAGGCTACCTGAGCCTCCAGTAATAGAGCTGCATCCAGAAACACCCTAAACTGCAAACGTGTTTCTTCAAGGAGTGCAACACCATCCAGGATGGGCAGTTGACCAGTTTCTTGGACAAGGGAACTAGTTACCTACATTGTCTCCATCTTGCCCAGGATTCAAGCTCAGCATGTTTTACCTCATCCTTCTCACCACTGCATGCAAGCAATGGCCCTGGGACTGCACAGCGCCTCCTGATTGTGATGTTATGGAGAAATAGAGTCAAGTGTTATCAGTATACTGATGGCACCTGGCCCCAAAACTCCCAATGACCACTGCCAGCGACTTCATGTAGATATTAAATAGCATTGGAGGACATAGTGTTCTGCAGCATCCCATAACGTAGCCTGCCAGGCTTTTTTTCTAAAGTGTTCTCTTTTCTCTTTATAGTACTATAGCTATATATTTCAAATCCCCACTCCTTTTGTCTTTCCCAACATCATACATCTCTCTATAGAACCTTTCCTTTTTTTTCTTTCTATACTTCATAGAACATCCCCCACTCCGCATTGTCCCTCAGCAATCCCTTATCTCTACTTCTCCTTCTGTACTTAAGTGATATAAATCCAAGATAAAACTTAAGATACCTTGTGGGTATACCTTTTGGGCTAGGAACTTTTGCTACCTACTAGAACACAATTAAGTACCATAGAGCAGATCATCATAAGCAAAACTATTTTTTACTTTTTTTATTAAAATGTTGCATGAACTATAATGTCAGCATATTATTGAAAATTAGTCTTCTTTAGTACTTAGGTGAAAAGAAAATATGTCCTAAATTCCTGACCGCTTGAGAATGTTACTCTAATACCTTACTCCTTATCACAAGGCAATGCTTTATACTTGTAATCTTGTACTCTCTTTTGACCTACTTACTGTTCTAATCCCTTTCGTTGAAAAGTAATTAACTAAAATAGCTTTACAATGTTCTCATATATGATTTTGTAGCATCCCTGTTGATACATTAATACAGTGAGCTTTCTATGTTAAGTGCTTTCTAATATTTATCCTCTTCAGCCCCACAGTATCCCTGCAAGAGAGGCTATTAATATTAAATGATAGTAACTTGTCCAATCCCACCATATGAATTGTGGCTTTGCTGCAATAGTGTACTGTTCTTATAAAATTTCCTATTGCTAATCAGTTAATTGGATGCTTACAATAAGGTTGATAATAATAGTATTTAGTCTTTGTATCCTTAAAATTGCTCCAGGTATTATGACCCAAAATAAGTATCAGTCTTATTTACAGCTTTGTTTCAGTTCATTCAGTCCAACACCAGTCAGACCTTCCAATAGGATCACACTAGGCACTGTATAATAATAGAAAATTATAGGCCCTCGTCTATGGCTTACAGTCTGTGAAGATACTGTTTCAGTTAGTGTAATAGGAGGAATTCTGGATTGTTTTACTTAGAACAAGTATGCTCAAAGTATTGGGGTATGTGGTCCTCATAGAATATGCTCATAGAAGTATGTGCTTGCTCCTCACTTGCATGGCACATGCACATACATGTCAATTTAAAATAACAGAGCCATTCAAACCCCTGTGTTGGAGAGAATTTGGTGGCTCTGCCTGGATCCATTGTGCTCCACCAGCAGGGGATTTGTGCCACTATAAAGGTTTCCTTTGTGTGTGCCAAAAATGCTATCAGGGTGTTTATGAGATGAGGAAGAAGTGGAACTGAGCTGTCCAAGGAGCCAGTGGATCCTAAGCTGGTTCACCTACTGACAGTGGGCTCAATCAGGGCTTCTCTGTTGTGCCAGCAAAACCTGGAATGAAACTGTTCACCTTCCATCATGAGCTCTGTTCCACCCAGCCACTACCAGATGGGAGATATGATTGGTCCCTAAGTCCCTTTAAGTTCAATAGGGCTTATTCCAGTTTGAATATGATTGCAGTCTTATTAGTGGCCTTCTATAGTTCCTTCTCTACTTCAGACAGTGTAAAGGCAGAACTACATGTTATATGCTTTTTCACATTCTCTCTCTTCTTTTTTCAGCTTTTTAAATGCAAAACAGCCATTTGAAGGGAAGATAAGTACAGGAGAAGTGGGGCTTCTTAATGTTGCAACCTGCTCTGGAATGCCTTTTTAGTAATGAAAAGCAAGCTATATATTTTAAACAAATAACTAAACCTTTTTATTTTTGCTCAATTTTCTCATGGAAATTTTGCCTTCTCAAGTGTTTTTACCCTGCATGAAAAATATATGTGAATGGTCTGTGATTCTACTTTGTTATTTGGTACAGGAGATCAGTTGGATGGCTACCTGGTACTCTGCTAGGGTATGTGATGAATGAGGTTAAGTTACACAGCATTGATCCATCTTTTCTATCTCTTTTCATCTGGTCTGGCTCTATGCCTAGGAAGACTGAGCTATGCCAGTTCATTTGTTGTTTGAGTTTTGTTTGCTGTAGTTATATTTGATGAGGCTCAGCTGTGTAGCTGGGAATACTCAGTATGGCAAATTATAAGAACCATATTGCGGAGGACAAGTAATTGATGTATTCACTATTTTACATCCTGAGTTTCCAAAAGGTTGTGTAACAGTTCTCCTCATTTTATTCTCAGAATCCTTTCTTGTAGGTTAGGCAGAGAGCTAGTACAGTGGTACCTCGGGTT